GCGATCTAGAGCCCTCCGTGCTCTCACTCATCGACGATGTACCCTTACCAAGCGAAATTTTTCAATTGCCAGCAATGATTATCGCCACTACAACATGCTTCTTTACAAGAGGTATACAATTCGTACTCAACATAATCTGCAATGCCACCCCAAGGGATTCTGGTCGTTTGTGAATACGAAGAGGAAGGAAACTGGACTGCCGTCAAAAATGTTTCTCGGCAATGACGTAGCATTGACAACTGAGGACAAATGCAGCCTATTTGCTAGGCACTTCTTAAGCGTCTTCTCGAATGACTCCCCATCGCAAGCAGAAATTTATCGAGCCGTCCGTGATGTGCCAACCGACGTCGTAAACATGGATGTTTTTGCTGTAGATGTACAAATGGTTCTCTCTGTGATGAGTAAAACCAAATCATCATTTTCACCAGGTCCGAGAGTTATTCCATCTGCAATGCTCCAATATCTTAGCTGCTCCGTTGTCCTTGCTCTTCAACCTGTCACTTCGTCAACAGAAATTTCCCGCACTATGAAAACGCTCTACTATGTTCCCTGTTTTCAAGAAAGGAGACAAACGCAATGTGGAAAACTACCGTGGGATTACCTCGCTTGGGGTTGAATCTAAGTTGTTTGAGTCGCTGATAAATGAGAGATTGTTTGCTTCCTGCAAGCATTACATAAGTACATGTCAACATGGTTTCTTTCCTGGCCACTGCGTGGAAACTAATCTCATCAGCTTTACGTCGTTCTGTATGGAAAATGTATGCAAAAAACTTCAAGTGGATGCCATCTAAACTGATCTTAAAGCTGCGTTTGATAGAGTTGTGCACGACGTTCTAGCAAAGCTTGAAAAAATTGGATATTCTGTTTCCTTAGATTGGCTTAGATCGTACCTCGTGCAACGTGAAGTTACTGTATGCATTGGAAACTACTCATCGTACTGTTTCTCGAACAGATCAGGAGTTCCACAGGGTAGCGCTTTGGGACCAATGCTCTTCTCTTTATTTGTGAACGATGTAACGTGTATTCTACTATGTGGAGGTAAATTGTTTTTTGCCGATGACTTGAAGATTTATCTAGCCGTTCGTGGCTATGCCGACTGTTTAGAACTACAAAACCTTCTTGAAATCTTTAATGATTGGTGTGAAAGTAATGTTATGGTCCTGTGCGTCTCAAAGTGCTGCGTAATTAGTTTCCGTCGAACTAGGACTGCCATTTTGTTTGATTATAACGTTGCTGGGACTGCAGTTCAACTTGTCGATTTAAAGACCTTGGTGTCATGTTGGATGAAAAGCTCACATACACTCGCACTTCTCAACCACGATCAACAAAGCTAATCGTCAGCTTGGATTCATGTTCAAGATATCTAAGGAATTTCGTGATCCTCTGTGTTTTAAAGCCCTTTACTGTTGATTGGTACGCTCACTACTGGAATTCGCGTGTGTTGTCTGGAATCCCTACCAGGCAGTATGGAGTGGACGATTCGAAGCTGTTCAACGCAAATTCGTCAGATACGCACTGCGCTATCTTCCATGGAGTGACCCGCTGAATTTACCACCGTATGCTGACCGCTGTCGTTTGCTGGGTTTGGATACTCTTGCTAAGCGACGAAACATATCGCAGGTCGTCTTCGTTGCTAAAGTTTTACTCGCCGAACATGATGTTCCTGAGTTACTAGCCAAAATTATTCTGTATGCTCCTGCCCGAACACTCCGTCCGAGAACCTTGCTACATGAAGTAGTACATGCAACCAACTATGCTGCAAACAGTTCATTTGTCGCCATGATTCATGAATTCAACGAAGCCTCTGACCTATTTGACTTTGACATCAATGCCTCCAGGTTTCGTCATCGTTTGCTGTCGGCCAATTTTTAACTTTTAATGAGTGACTACATTTAGATTTAAGTGTTTCATTGAGACTATCAAGTCAGATTGACTATAATAATAATCAAGGTTGGATCTGTTATCATCATGCTGCGGAACCTCAATCAACCGAAATTGTGGAATGGAACAAGATTGGCCGTGAAACAACTCAAGAATAATGTGATCCAAACAACGATACTCAAAGGTAAATTCAAGGGCGAGGAAGTGCTCATACCGAGAATTCCACTGATTTCAACAAATTTACAAATGCATTCAATTTCCGGTTCGCCTTGCATTCGCCATGACAATCAATAAATCACAAGGCCAACCTTTGGAAGTGTGTGGAATCAACCTCGAATACCCTTGCTTTTCACATGGCCAATTATATGTGGCATGTTCACGTGTTGGAAAACCTTCATCTATGTTTATTTATGCACCGGATATCAAAACGAAGAATGAAGTCTACCATGAAGCATTGAATTGACCTGATAAATGATTCCAAAAGCCGCTTAATATTCCGTGTAAATAAATGTTATTGAATTCAATCCAATTTGAAAAGTGTTCCATTCAATTCATGTATCATGTATCCTTTTGCGTCGAACTTCGTCCCACCCAAAATTTGATCTTTGTTTTAAACAATTTCGAGCATTCCTGATTCCACCCTAAATTAATCTCTTTCAATGGAATGTTCGCGATTGATTTAGATGATACTACTCTAGAAGTAGTATCCTCTAAATCAATCGCGAATAGGAGTAGGAGTAGTATCATCTAAATCAATCGCGAATATTCCATTCAAGGAGATTAATTTAGGGTGGAATCGTGAATGCTCGAAATTGTTTAGAACAAAAATCAAATTTTGGGCGGGACGAAGTTCGACGCAAAAGGATCGAACGAAAAATGGCAAAAATCGCTGAATTTTATTCACACTTTGTACATAAGGAAAATTAAAAAGTTTTTTTTTATAATCCCTTTTTGTGTCCAGGCTCAAATGCGGGTAAGTGTAAATGTTAATACCCATTTGGTATAAAACGATGATTTCTTATTTGCCACAATGCGCTGGAATTTAAACTCTTCCCCCTTCATAGCACCAGTGCTCCCCTATATTGTTATAATTAAGAAGTGTTTGCTTTCTTTCCCCTAACATAAACTGTTTTTAAAACACACGAATGTTAAACTGTACGGACACTACGCATCTGAATTCTTCAAAATACCTTGATTCATCATTTTCATAAACAAACTATCAGTTCAAGTTATTCAAGGTTTCCCATTTCAAAGAATTCACCTGATCTCAACTCCAACCGCGAAGACAGTCCCCAATTTACTCATCTTCCAATAACTGTTTATTGTTTTTGATACCACCAATTGTGTTGTTTACACTCCATCGTGCTTCTTAAAGCGATTGGATTTTCCCACGTTTGTTTTCCTTTCGCACTGGACTCGAAAAGTAAACAGTCCCGGCTGGAGGGAGTTGAGAACTTTTCAATCACGCTGGGTCATAGCGAATCCCCTTCGAATGTTTATTCGGCAAATAAATCACGGGAAATTATCCATTTTCTGCCTTTAAAGTGACCTACGAGGCGTGGCGTAACAGTTATTAGACAGATGGCGTTGGCTGGCGTTGACGTGAGACCCTTCCGCTAATGGACGTTTGATCAATCACCGAAGCAGGTGCGTCGGCGATGACGATCGTCCCCATCACCATCATCGTCGGTGCGAGACGCGATTTCACTGAGTTAGATAAACATTAATTAATCTGGGTGTCTCTCTTCTGGTTCAACGTAGCAGCAGTGACATATGAAGTGTCCACGGTCACCTAGAAATGATACATTGTACAGGACGCCGGTTGTTACAAATTTGACGATTCGGATGGTTGCAGCAGCCGATTAGACTGTCGAATGTTCGAGAGCTCGGTGGAATAACGCTCTATGTAAGCTGAGATCAAGAAGCACCACGCGTCCACTCCGGAAACGGTGATTGACGATGGGGCGTAAAAATCTGCTTTTTTCGTGGTTAGAAACGACTCGAAAATTAGTAGGGTAGGAGTGAATGAAACGTCCTCCTTGCATTTCTATGAATATACCGTTTATTTAAATACAACAATGATGGGCAATCCAAGTAATTAGTGAGAGTACTCTGAGTTTGACAACTGTCAAGTGTATATGATCAATAAAGATAACAAAATTCTGAAAAGTTAATTCCTATGTAATTTTTTGCGTCATTACGATAATCATTCAAACGATAAAAACGCTGTCAGTCTGGGTTGTTCTATAGTAATGCATAAAGTGAAATTTTAAAAGCTTGCCTTATTTGAAAAAATTGCATGATTTTTGGATTAACAAAAATGCTAGATTATTGGGCAAGTATTTGATGGGAACACTCCGCTGTGAAACTTTGACAGCTGTCAAGAGACATCTAATATTGACGCTCTGGAGCATGTCACAACGTCATTGTATGGTATACTATCCTTTTAGTATAGAGCATACGGTCATTTTGTTGTAGGATCAAAATCTAGGATGTTTCTTAACTTCTGCTTTAATTCCCGAACCGAAGGAAAAAAAATATAACAATTTGTTTCTAACTTCCAAAGCAACAGATCATCGTGATTGCTCCGTTAATTGAAGTGAAAACGGTACAAATATAGCCGTTTTCCCCTCCTACCTGTTTACCCCAAATGTTGACAAGTGAAGCGACTGTTGAATTGATCATCAGGCTTCTTCAGTACTGAACAAGTAAATACACTAAAACATATCATAACATGACGAAATAGTCTTCCCGAGCAAGCATATTGCGTTCATGGCACGTACGAGCGCTGACGTCTATTGAACCTTCCGATACACAAACAGTCGTATGACTTTTCAGCATATCATTAGAAAAAAGTCATGACGCACACTCAGTGACGCAGTCAGCTATCGTACGTCATGGAGGAAAATCAATCATCCTTTCAAACAACAAATGTTCTCTCGTGATCTCGAGATGATGCAAACCACGAGCAACTTGGCAGTTGAAATGGCACTGCTGCACTCCTATCATGTGATTACTAACCAGGGCAGCGACGACGCCAACAACAGCCACACGGTCCCGAATCATATCATATGCAGTTGGCCACGAAGCTACACAAACAGCCAAAAATATACACTCACCTCTTCAATGGGACACTGATTATCTAGAGGCACTAGTGGTTTCTCCGGTACTGGTCTGGTAGCGTAGTAGTAGGCGGTCGCAGCAGCCACCCCCGTCAGGGCCAAAGCACCTCCCGTGCCGCCGACGTACTGTAGACACCCGTCGAGATCATCAACTGGTGGGGGTGAGGGAGGAGAAAAAGAGAGAAAGAAACAAACGGTTATTACTTGTTGCTGTTCGGATGGCTCACATTCGCTGGTTGGGGCGAGTGATATGTGTCAGTGTGTGCAATCAGACGATGAAACGTCTTATGGTGCGACGGTAGCTTTATAATCAATGTAGCAATTAGCCTGCAGTTAGACTACACGATGGACATGACTTGATGTTTGCTGACTGGTTAATGCTACGTTCAGACTACAGAGTTATAACATGTTATAGCGCTATCTTGATGGTGGTTTCTGTGTTGCAATTATTTGACAACCGTTATAACATGTTATAACTCTCCAGTCTGTACACCGTTTAAGACAATGGTAGAGAAAAAGCTTGATAATATCCGATGGTCTGCTGGGGTGTATCTTTAATTAATATTAACTGAGGAAGCTCGTTCAAAAACAAAATCAGGCAAAATCGATATTATAAACGACATTTTTTATCTGTGACGTACGAAAATCGTGCGAATTTAATTATTTCATCAGAAGTCGTCGTAATGCCATTCTCTAAATGTTTTGGCATTTCCGTCTAAAACGGGTTTATTTCCATATTCATGGCATTATGGCCTAGTAAGTTTTCGCGTTTCTAGGATTTTTTTTAGCTGTTCAAAGGGCAAGATACTTTTTTGTGTCTATACCCGTTTTTCGCGTATTTAAACCTTTTTTTTTCGCGTGTTAAGGATTTTTTGCGCTTTCAAATATATTTTCGAGTTCGGTTTTTGAATTCGGAAGTCAGAAACAGGTATGCCTCATATAGAAAGATATACAGGGTTGCCAGTTATTTTTAATTTTTAAATACCCGGTTTTTCCCAGTATTCCCGGTACAAATCTCAAAAATTTCTTGATTTATAATATTAAACTAAACCCGAAAGTGTTGAATGATCACACTTTTGCTTTTAAATCGTTACCACGTGCAAATCAGTAACATTTTTGAGTGTGATTAAATAAAAGCAGCAAAAAAAGTAAATAGGGATATTCACTATGCACATCGTAAACATTTACACTACGGTAAAAATACCAGAGTTCAAATGGACTGTGTAATGGAAGTTGATACGTTTACGATGCGCTGTATGAATACTCCCAATGTTTTTTTTTTAGATAGCGTAAGTGGGGGTGACAATGGGCCAAAAAATCAAAAATTGTCGTTCCTTACCTTACAACATTCATATTTTATCAAGGACAACAATTTTAAGCATGTGAATATATTCATCAATGATATATTTACGACAGTCATGGAAATGGTTGATTGAAATTGATATCTCATTTTACTAAACAAAAAAACAAAAAAAAAAAACAATGTTAAAAACTTATGTAGGGTGACCAGGGCTTAAAATTATTGACTGCCTAGGCTGAGTGTGAAAGCACTGCACTATTCAATCCATTGCCCTGTGCAGACCGTTTGTACCAAACGGTAAAGGACGAGGTAATGAAAGAGCCAACAAAAACATTCAGTCACTCACGAGCAGACGACGCACACCGCTTGCCTTCGCTCACACAGCTTGTAATTGAGTCATATTTCCATAGAAAATGTACGCTCAGTCATTCAAAACAAATATTGGGTACCATCACGGCAGAATAAACGTGTTGACTGAGCTACTGACTGAGTGCTCGGCTGTCAGTGACTCGTTTACCTCTGAATCATTCAGACTCTCACGAGGCAGTGAATGAAGAGGCAGATGGCAGTTCATAGTCATATCAAAATGACTCAATGAACCTGACTGTTTTGCGCACTGGGGGTAACGTTGGGCCAAAACATAAATTTGGTAAAAATATCTTAAAATATGAAAATGTAACGTACCTATTAGAAGTACTTTTGGCACTAAGCTTTACAACACTATTTTAATAAACAACTGTTTCATGTTATTTACGCTGTCCTCCAGTAGTTCAAGGAACATATTCTAGAAATTATTTTCCACATACTTAAGATATTAGCATCAATAAACATTTTTAAAAATTTTGGCCTAGGACCACTGTCACCCTGTCTTACGGTACTTTGAAAAATCAATTCTTACCTATCACTTTTCTTATCCTCATATGTTGAGCCAGTCCTCATGTTTTCAAAGTCCCATAACTTACTGAAAAACTGACAAATTTGTTAACCCTCCGTTACTCGCGAGTACCCGTGCGCGTTGTACTTTGTACAACAGTGTGAGTTTTCCATTGCCATTTTGCAGCCGAGCTACCAATCGATATGAAACCAACGGGGAAACCTTAAAAAACTTGTTTTTAACTAAACAAGCTAAACTTTTATCTCAGTTAATCGCCAAAAAATGCAGATAATAGAGAAAATGTGAATGGAAACCGCGTAAACGGTGTCCGTACTACGTGGGATTTGACTTAATTGGTTACAACATGGAAAATCTTGAGATCCTGACCAGATAGTAAGTAACTGTCTTCGGCAAAGTTGTTCTAGAGATCATAACTTTTTTGCTGGTGGAGAGAAGTTCAGAATTGTCTCACTACGTAGCGCTTGAACACATGTAAAATTCTTGCATGTGATATATCTCGAGATCATGGCCAGATAGAAAGTTACTGTCGTCGACAAAGTTGTTGATGAGTTCAAAGCCTATTTCTTGGTGCACAATAGTACAAAATTTTCTCAATACGCGGCGCTATTATACACGTGAAATTCTCATATAAAATATCTCGAGATTCTGACCAGATAGAAAGATACTGTCTTCGGCAAAGTTTTTCAGGAAGTCATGATCTTTTCGTTGGTGGAGTAGTTCAGAAAATTCTCACTACGTGGCGCTGGTATATACGTACAATTTTCGCATATACAATAGCTCGAGATCTAGATAGAAAGTTACTTTCTTCCGCAAACTTGTTCAGGGGGTCAAGTTTTTTTGGCTGATCGACAGTAGTTCAGAGTTTTCTCACTACGCGGCGCTAGAACACACGTGAAATTCTCATATAACATATCTCGAGATTCTGACCAGATAGAAAGTTACTGTCTTGGGCAAAGCTGTTCAAGAGATTATAGCCTTTTTGCTGGTGAACAGTAGTTCAGAATCTTCTCACTAGATAGTGCTCGTATACATGTTAAGTTCTCGCATGTGATACATCAATAGATCCTGACCAGATAGAGAGCAAATGTGTTGGGCAAAGTTGTTCAGGAAGTCAAGATCTTTTTGTTGGTGGACAGTTGTTCAGAATTTTCTCACTACTTGGTGCTAGTTTACACATGCAATTCCCGCATATAAAATAGCTCGAGATCCTGAGCAGATAGAAAGTTACTGTTTTCGGCAAATTTGTTCAGGGGGTCAAGACTTTTTGGCTGGTGGACAGTAGCCTAGAATTTTCTCACCACGTGGCGTTAGTAAACGTGCACAATTCTCGCGTATGATATAGCTCGAGATTCTGAACAGGTAGAAAATTACTGTCTTCGAAAAAGTTGTTCATGAGGTCAATGCCTATTGCTTGGTGCATAATAGTTCAGAATTTTCACACTACGTGGCGTTTTTTCCCTCTGTTCGGGACATAAAACTGCTGCGACCAGTAATTTGATCTATTGTAGTATATCCCGTGTCCTTAGTTTAGTGCATGTCGTATTACTTCATCACTATTGAGAAATGATGAAGTATTCGGTTTTGATACAGTTGTCATTCTTGCCTTAATCGCAAGGAATCGATTCTAATTGAAAGGTTCCGCTATTTATATCCTTCGGAGTGTTGGAACACCCTCCAAAGGCGCGCTCTTTGTCAGTCAAAATTGGATTCCTTAGCAACAAAATTAAAGAATGACACCGAAAGTGACCATGATCAGAACCCTAGTCTTAACCACTTCAAACTAGGAAACAACGAATAGAAGATTTGAGATCACATAGATGAAGACTAACTAACTCATTTTTTCCTTGTTTCAAGATCATCCTGGGTCCAGGAAACCCGAGGACTTATCACTATCAACAAGGCATAAAAAGTAACAAGGACTAAGATGTGTTCCTTTGATTACTGAAAAATCCTGTTCCCCTAATTTGAAGTAGTCAAGACTAGGAATCGGTGATAGATCTTACATCCCGTAACGTACCACGAAAAGCTGATCTAGGTGATTAGTATACTCGCGAAATTCTCTCATATAAAATATCTCGAGATTCTGATCAGATGGATTTCGCTAGTGGACAGTAGTTCAAAATTTTCTCACTACGTAGCGCTAGAGTACACGTGAAATTCTCGCATGTGGTTTGTTTCGAGATCCATACCAGATAGACAGTTCCTGTCTTCGACAAGTTGTTCAGGAGGTCAAAGCCTATTGCTTGGTGTACAATAGTTGAAAATTTCCTAAGCGGCGCAAGTATACATGTGAATTTTTCACTAATAAAATATCACGAGATCCTGACCAAATAGAATGTTACTGTCTTCGGCAAAGTTGTTCAGGGAGCCAAAGCCTTGTGGCTGGTGGACAGAAATTCAAATTTTCACTTCAATTTTCAATTTCAATTCAAATTCCACATCATTGCGCTTGTATACACTTGAAATTCTCGCATTAGATATATTTTATATTTCGAGACCTGCTAAACTGTCATCGGCAAAGTTGTCCAGGAGATCAAAACTTTATCGTTTGGCCGACAGTACAGAATTTTCTCACTACGCTAGGATATACGTGATATCTTCCCATGTATAATATCTCGAAATCCTGAACAGCTAGAAATTTACTGTATCTGGCAAAGCTGTTAAGGAGATAAAGATCTTTTGGCTGATGAACAGTAGTTCAGAAATTTCTCAAAACTTGGCGGGCAATTATCGCATATCAAATATCATAAAATAAAAATACAATTTACATCAGCCTAAGTGGGATAAGACAAATATATTCTGGATTTCTTTTACTGGTGAAGATTTTTATGAAGATTTGTGGATACATACATTGGAGTGAGTCGTTCCACTTGTATACCTCTGATAAATTAGTGGTAACACGTATCTCAGATGGAAAACATTATCTTAAAAATCAATATTGCTGAAAATTCCACCAA